GCAGGAGTAATTAAATGGCTGCTCTGTCATTGATAACGAATGTTTTCCCTGTATCCACCGAGCCGGTTCAGAGGTGCTTGTGTGAAACCACAGCTCTCTGCTCGATAAAATGAAAGCTTTTGTGAGATTTCTCTATAGCCTGATGCTCCTGAGCTTTGTTTGCAAGCAATAAGCAGGAAGCAGTGACCATAATCTAATATGAAAATGGCTCTTTTCCAGGTCAGAGCGGAGCAGGAAACAACTGGGCAAAGGGCCATTATACGGAAGGTGCTGAATTAGTTGATTCTGTGTTAGATGTTGTAAGAAAGGAAGCAGAAAGCTGCGATTGTCTTCAAGGCTTTCAGCTTACTCACTCCCTGGGTGGTGGTACAGGCTCTGGCATGGGTACCCTCCTTATCAGTAAAATTAGGGAAGAGTACCCAGACCGAATTATGAATACTTTCAGTGTTGTACCCTCCCCTAAAGTATCAGATACTGTCGTAGAGCCCTACAATGCCACTCTCTCGGTCCACCAGCTCGTGGAGAACACGGATGAAACATACTGTATTGATAACGAAGCTCTCTATGACATCTGCTTCAGAACACTGAAGTTAACTACTCCAACCTACGGTGATCTGAACCATTTAGTGTCAGCAACCATGAGCGGTGTCACCACCTGCCTGCGATTCCCAGGCCAGCTCAACGCTGACCTGCGGAAACTGGCAGTGAACATGGTTCCTTTCCCTCGTTTGCACTTTTTCATGCCTGGTTTTGCCCCTCTCACGAGCCGTGGGAGCCAGCAGTATCGAGCTTTAACCGTGCCAGAGCTAACACAGCAGATGTTTGATGCAAAGAACATGATGGCTGCTTGTGACCCACGTCACGGTCGCTATCTGACCGTCGCTGCTGTTTTTAGAGGCCGTATGTCTATGAAAGAGGTTGATGAACAAATGTTGAACGTTCAGAATAAAAACAGCAGCTATTTTGTTGAATGGATTCCTAATAACGTTAAAACAGCCGTCTGTGACATTCCACCTCGTGGCCTCAAAATGTCTGCCACCTTCATTGGTAACAGCACAGCCATCCAGGAGCTGTTCAAACGTATTTCTGAGCAGTTCACGGCCATGTTCCGCCGAAAGGCTTTCCTGCACTGGTACACTGGCGAGGGCATGGACGAGATGGAGTTCACAGAGGCTGAGAGCAACATGAACGACCTGGTGTCTGAGTATCAGCAGTACCAGGATGCCACAGCTGAGGAGGAGGGGGAGTTTGAGGAGGAGGCTGAGGAAGAGGCAGAGTAAAAGCTATGCAGATGACACCTGTAAATTTTGTTTAAAGCTGTATGAACTCTTTCATTCAAAACTCTTCTGTCTGTGTTGTGTTCCCTCTTCCTGTCTCAAAAGTCACTTCCAATGCTGTACAGGCACCATTAAAGCATTTTTCACAGTGCACAAGCTCGTCTCCTTTGTTCTTTCTCATAAGCTTTGCGGGTGCTGTTGCCAAAAGTGAGCGCGTAGGTGTGGCGGAGGTCTGGAAAAGAACAACAACAGCCTTGATGCGAAGCCCTGCCACCTTCCCTGAGGCATCCACGCTTCTCTTCCCTGCCCTTCCAACGAGGTGGACGCCTGTGTCACTGGATGTGGTGGCAGTCCAGCTCGCTCCTGGCACTGCAGGAATTGAAGGAATATAATGGAGGGGGAGACGCTTCACATGGAGGGTGAACTTCAGCTTCCAGCTGCATCTAAATTTAGGCCCCTGCCTGTGGATTCCTGTTACAGGCTCTGCTCTTGGCAGGAGCTGAGGAGCTCTCCTCCCCAGAACAGCAGCCCAGGTTCTAGTGAAGGTGGCCATAGGCCACCACCTGCCCTGGTGACAAAATGGTGGAGCCAGGTCACCTCCCTGCTCCAGGTGGGTGTCTCTGCCCAAAGATGAGCTGGGCTGATCTCCACCGCAGCTTCTCAGCAGAATGAACCCAGCAGGTAGCAGTGACCTGTCACAGGAGCCTTGGGGACAGCTGTGACAAGCTGTGCCTGCTGCTGAGGACGAGTGACACTGAAGAGCTCCTGTGTGTGTGGCCCTGCTGGGGTCACTTTTTAAAAATAAAAATGGGAATGTAGAGATTTTAAAAGTAAATCACCTGTGGTGTCTCTGCTGTTGAAGTGAGCTGGACACCTGCCACCACATTGCTCTGGTTTATCTCATGAAAACCCCAAATTAGCAAATTTTTTACTGTGGAAACAATATGTTCAGTGTTAAAGTGACAGACCTGTCCCTGACTAGCTGGACAGGAGGTGGCAGGCTGCTCTCCTGCTTAACCAGGAGAAATTCTGGTTGGTGGTCTTCATCATAACTGATTTGGGGTTAATTTGTTGTGCCTTAAAAAATAAGTTTGTCCTTCTGGTGTTGACCAGGTTGGAGTAATTAAAAAATCCCACTGACTGTGGTGGCTCTTGGGGGAGGGAGAATCGAGCTGTCTACAGACCTGCTCAGGAGAAGACTTTGGTGGGTGAAGAGATGGCAGCAGATTGTTCCAGTGTGAGGTAACCATGAAGCAGTTGATTTTTGTCCTTCATTTAGGGTGGGTTTTTTCTTCCTCCTGAAGCTGGGGTGTTCCCTGTCCTGCCAGTTACCCAGCACAGGACAGCCTTGTCCCCCCACCCAGCACCTTTTTGGGCAGAACTAGGTCGGTCACCCTCCCCTGGGGCGCTCCAGCTGCTCTCCCCTCACTTGCTGCAGGTTGGTGGGGAGAGGACAGAGCACACAGACTGGCATTAACACCACTTTGCCTTTAGCTTCCTAAGAACCTTTCTCCAGAGGACTTTGGCTTGCAGGTCCCAGCCCTGAGGAGCAATCCCACACCTATTTCTGTTCATCTGTGATCAAGGGGCCTGTCCAGCCTCACCTCACCATCCCTGGGTGAGATGCCTCCATCCTTTCCCTTAGACCATCCCTCAAAGCTCCTGGTGACCGGCCGTGGGTTAAACTTGGCTTTTCCTGCAGGGCTTTTCCATGCCCCCGATACAAATCCTGTTACATCCACATCCTCTGCCTCAACCTTCTCCCCCCTGGGCTCACCAGGCACAACACCAGCTACCACCATCCCTACCAGGACAGTTCTTTTCCCCACTCTTTGCTTTCATTTCTACCACATTTTACGTCTTCTACCATTTTCCTGTCTTGCATGAAGTGCAAGCTACGAATTTGGTTCTTGTTAGCTTCTCTCCACGCTCTCCCATCCCACATTACTGAGCTGTGGGCTTTGATAAACAATATTAATTGCTGATTTATTGAAATTTTAACCTAATAACTTAATGTTCTGCATGGACAGACCTTCCCCTTAACACACACCACATGAATTTCTCCAGACCTCTCCTCTGAGGCAGCACAGGTAACACAGTACGGGGTAACCACTACCTGTCTTGATGGCTAATACTCCTTTTTTGGTGCTTTCTCAACCCCTTTCTATCATTTACTTTTTACTTTTCATCAGAATTTAAGAACAGAATCACTTTTCCTGATGAAGAAATGTAACACACGTGTTAATGGGTGGGGGGTTCCTGCTCTAACAGGGCTTGGGGGCTGCAAACCAGAGGAACATTCTGCACCAAGTCCAGGTTGGAAGATGAGCTCTTAATGGCACAGACTGGGGAAAAAAAAAACTACTACCCACGTGGAACATTTCAGTAACTTCACTGCTATGACATCCCAGCTAATAGCAGCCTGACTTAATGACAGTAATTAATATTAGTGACTTGCATTTTGCACTCAGCTGATGAAATTACCTGGTACGAAGCCTGCGTAGAAAGGGATCAGTCCAGCACTGGTGTAAATTCTGTTCTCAGGCCAGTATGTTCTGGGAAATCTCTTGCCAAAGCTGCAGGCTGGGTTTCTCTGCAAAAACTAGAAAACAAACCAAAAACAAAAAAAAGAAGAAAAAAAATTAACAACAGAGTATAATTCATTTTAAACATATTGTTGTTACCCAAGTCACGTGCTTTGACACTGTGTTAAAGAAAATATTTAAGTTAATGTAAAGCAATTTTTTTCCAGTTCTATTTTTTTTTCCAGTTCTATTTTTCCAGTTCTATTTTTTTTCCAGTTCTATTTTATTTTTTTTCTAATTAGAAGCTATATTGCATGTTTTTTTTCCACATTATCAGTTTTTCTCCCGCTGGGTGTTGGCAGCCGCCCTCCACAGCGCTGTCTCTGCAGCTCCTACCCCCCCAGTGCACAGAGCAGCTCCTGGCCTGGGTGGAATCTTCAGGATCTCTACAGCCAGGTCAGCATTTGTCACCTTTGGGCATCACCCACAAATCCCAAACACCTTGAGATCCTACATTTGATACGCTGGGAGCCAACAATATCTGCCCGAGTTGGGTCCGTGCCTCGTCTGCTCCCGTGCTGTGACTCTGCACAATCTGTGCTTCAGTTTCACCCCTTCAGCTGGTGGTTTTTTTCCCACCAGTCCCACTGCTGGTGATTAACCAGTAAATCCCAGTCTAGGAGGAGTGGGAAGGCTTAGGAAGTGTTAATTGAAAGGAGAGTGTAAATCATCTCCTGGATCTGTCCCTGCCCTCCGAGCTCAGACCCAGAGGAAGGGTGGATGTTGCAAGCTCTGCACGTCTCCGCAGCGGCAAAACCCCTGAAGGTGTCACCAAATCTGTGCCACACGCCCTGCTGGGTGGAGAAGGGACGGGGGGGTCATGGAGCTGAAAAAAAAACAGGGGGTCACTGAACCCTTTTGTGCCCGACGAGGGAGCGGTGGCCGCAATTCCTCCAGCGAGGAGCACTGGAGCGAGAGGATTGCGTTCCTCTGCCTGATGCAGACAGCAAGCGATGATCCATGGCACATCCCTCTGTGTAACCTGGGGCAACGCAGATTTAGGGCAGAACATCAGTGGCTTCAAGTCAGAAGCCATCTTAGAGAGAAATGGGGTGGGATTATTGTTATGTATTTATTTTTATCATGGTTCTATTCCTTCAGCACCTGATGTGCTGCAGCGAAGCTCTGCGAGCCTGGCTTCTCCTGGAGAAACACCCCCCTCACCAGTTTACTGCCTCACAGACATCTCTGAAGAAATCAGGGGCAGAAAAGCTTTTGCAAACAGCACGTTTAGGTTTGTTAATGCCTCGTTTTCATTCTGTTTGCTTCATTTCAATTCCCATTAACAGCAGAAGGAGAAGGAAGCCAGCACAGGGAAATCCATTTCAGCCAGAGCATCGGCTGCCGTGAGCTCTGCCAGCCCCGCTGCCGTCCCTGCTGACTCATTTCTTCCAGCTGAGAGAGGATCCTCAACCTTAGATTTTCTTTTACATCAGACCCGGATGCTCTGGGATGAAATCACTGCAGTGAATCTCAGTGACCAGAAAAAAGACTGGAGATGCTGTCACCTGCTTTCAACGAGCTGATCCACCTTCACCAGCACTGGAGCAGCACAACTGCTGCAGCCCAGGGATCTCCCACTATCCTGGCAGCAGGAAGGAGTGTGCAGCTTTGAATGCAAACTATTAACTGCTGTGGGAGGGATCACATTTGCCTGTGTAGGAGGATCATTATATGGGAAATCTTAACAGCAAGGAGACAAAATATTTTTTCTCCTTGTTGTAGGAATTATTTCTGCATCTTTCCCAAAAGGAGGAGAAAGAAGATCTAGATCCCTTTAAGACAAATTCTATTAGTAAAGGAAAAAGATTTAAAAAGCTTTAAAAAGCCTTTTTTATGATTTTTTTTTTTTAACTGATTAAAAAGGAGAAATATCCATCCAAGCAGCCCAGGAAGCCATCCAGGTGGAGAAGGGATTGCGTAAGGGAAGCACAGATAGTTGCATCCTATGTGTTTCTGCACTCAGAGCAACATTTTTAATAGCCATCCTTAAACCAACCCTCAATAGATTTGCTTAATCCTTTTATGAACTCATTTATCCTCCCTTCATGTCCCAAGGAAACACATTACTGAATTTTAATTGCTCAGCATTTTTTTCCACCGTGTTACCTCAAAGCATTTTCTTTTGCTTGTACTTATAACCCTGGTTCTGATGCTGCTACGACTGTAAATGAAACCGCTTTTGGTGTCGCAGGTGAATCAACACCAACGTCAGATTCTTAAAATAAGATTTGTGGATATAATCTACCTGATATCGTGCAAATTCATTCATGGCTTCCTTCACTCCCTGGGTGTAGTTCACGCCGTTGATCCAGGTGAGGCGGGGGATGAATCCAGCGTACCCTTCGGATGAAGAAAAGAGAGAACATCTGTATCTCATCAACAACAACCAGTCTGGACATGGAAGAAGCTGGGATAAATATAAAACCTTGGCAGAATATAGGAAGGAAAAATTAATCCATTTAAAGTGTAAAATTAACTCTTACCTGTGAAATGTCTTTTCTGAAAGAGTCTTTTTTTTATGATTCCCAAGGAAAACTCAATGGGTTGAACGGGTCTTTGTTGGTCTCCATGAGGTATGGAAGAAACATTTCATTTTCTTACAGTCTTTTCTTTAAGCCAACACTTCTGTTGGGTTCTGTCCCAGTTTAATACCCATTCAGGGGCTAACAACTGGCTGTCTCATTTCCCCTGCCCGTCCGACAGATTTTCACTAATTATATCACAGAAACTTTATAAAGTGTTAAACTACATAAAACAAAGAGGTACAACCTAGGAAGCAGGCAGAGATGCCTCTTCCCAAAGGGAAGCTTTGGAGAGAGCAGAATTTGTCTTCTACATCCTAAAACATGGATGCTCTTTCTCTCAGTCTGAAATATTTTGATGTGCAATCCTGTGTTCGCTGTGCAGAGCCCATGACCCATCTCTCCGTGCTTCCTGCAGCATTTTCTAGCTGTACAGAACTGAGGTGGCTCCTGCATCCCTTCCACCTGCCCATGGGTACGTGTCCCTCAGCATGAGATCCATTAAGGTCACAGCATCCCAAAGAAACCCCTGTGCATGGAGAGGAGCAGAGGCATTTTCCGTCCCAAAGTGTTCAAACAAGCTGGAGTGACTGGCCAATGTCTCTGAGATCTCCCCATGGGGAGAAGGGTGACAGGATTTCTTCTGAGGTGGACTCTCCCCTCTTTTTTTACCTGGAATGACTTTCTGTTGGATCACATGGGGCACATTCAGTGTGAGTAACCAATTTTCTTGCTCCGCATCTGCAATTTCAGCCACTCCTGGCAGAGTCACATCTTCAACTTTGACAGGCTCAAAAGAAAAGCAGAAATAAAATAAAATTAAAATCACCAGCAAAAGCCATTTCTTCCTTTGGCTCCATTCCTCAACTCACTGCCAGAACCTCTGAATGGCAACTGCCATTTCCATTTCTTCCCAGCTTTACACCAAGAGCAACTCCAAGGATTTCTGGTGAAGTCAAATGACTGGATGAGAGCTCTGTGCTCAGAGATTTTGCAAAATCCTCATGGGGGGGGAACAAGAAGAGCTTTGGGCACTGAGCTCCTTCACAAATCTCTTTGTCAGAGCAAGGAACAGGAATGCTCCTTCTCAGGGTTTCTATCCAAGCCAACTTTTCACTCAATACATCAACTCTCCAATCTCTGCTGTCAGGGATTTGCAGAGCCCTGGCTGGCAAACGCCGTCTCTGGCTACAGAAGGAACAAGGGGCTCAAAGACGTTGGGCCCAAGTGACTCGGGTGATGCTGTGCAAGGCAGCACCCAGCACCACAGGCAAATCCCAGGGGCTGTGTTCAATGATGGATAACCATGGTGGGAAATTCAGGTGGGAGCAGTTGAGGGTCCCAAACACAGCAGGTCACCAAAGATGCCAGGACAGCTCTGTTTCGGGGAGGGCAGCAGCAGGGCTTTCAGTTGATAAGGAAAAACGAGCCCAGTTGCATGTGACAGTGTAAAACAAGACCTAAGAACTGGGATATGGAGCTAAAACTCAACCAAATGAGAAGCTGAACCTTTTTGATTAAGCAGCATAATTCATCATTGCCACAGCAGCTGGCATTTCTCTGCACAGCCCTCTAACCCTTCTCCTTCCCGTCCACACCCGTATGAAATTCCCTCTTCACACCTATGAACTGAGGAGATCCCTTCCACACCCACCAGCCCCCAAACTCCATCCCTCTGCAGCAGCATCCCTCACCACATGTCCCTTCCACCCAAGACCTCTTACTGGTTTGCTTCCAGCCAAGGCACGGCCGAGCTGGTTGGATCCACATCCTGTTCCCTGTGCATAAGCCGGGCTGAGCTCGGGAAATCGAAACTCTCGCTCCTCGGAGGCAGGATGGCTTGAAATCCTCCCTAGGCAATCCCATGGCAGCCATGTCCTTGGTTTGTACTCGCTGGGATAGCACTGGGGCAGAGGGACCGTGTGCATCATCATCAGCTTTTCCTCTGCCGGCCCCCGCAGAAGACGGTTTGGCCCAAGAGTTGGCTCAGGAAATCTTATTGGAGCCTCAACTTTCTCAGAGTGGAAGTACCCTGTGGGACAGACACCGAGTTAAGGGAAAGGAGCAGCCAACGAGATGAGGGATTCCCATTGTGGTGGACCACAATGAGAGAGCAGTGAAGGGGAAAGGGATCTGGGAGTCCTGGTGGGCAGCAGGATGACCATGAGCCAGCACTGTGCCCTCGTGGCCAGGAAGGCCAGTGGCATCCTGGGGTGCATTAGAAGGGGTGTGGTTAGTA